GAGCATTGCCCGAAGCGCGAATCCCTCCGTATGGGTGCTAGTCTTGGTAACCCCTTTGACCCTGCAACCGGAAGGGTTCTGTGTGCGCCTTGAGCGTTAATGTTAATCAAAGGGGAAAAGGAGGGACCCTTAATGGGGACCCCTACCCTATAATGAGCGTATATAACGGCTATACACTAGCTATATTAAGGGTATATACCTAGGGGTCCTTTTTAAGGGCCCCTCCTTTTGCCCTTGGAGTTACGAGAGATCCTTAGTTGCAGGAGACTCCCCGCTTATCCTTGCGTTTTAGTTATCCCTAAGGGTCCAAGTATCATTATGGTATATACTTATATAGACCCCCAAAATGCCCTATAAGTATATACCATCATGATACTTGGACCCTTTGGGCATCCCTAAATCCTGAATCCTAGGAGTTGTCGAGGTATTTCAGAATGCAGACATATCTTTGCCTCCCTGGGTTTCGGAGATCTTGTTTACGATAGCTTTAAAAATTTTCTGAGCCCAGAATCTCCCTCAAATGTCAAGGCTCCGAGATTGGATACTGCTCCCACTCAGTGACTTGTGTTTCAGTATTGGGCAAATATCGGCATAAAAGGCCCATAGCCTGGGATTTGATTCTGTTACCGCATGGGAGCAGTATCAAGGCTCCAAATAATTCTTCGGATCTTGCACCTCCTGAAGGACCAGATGACCCTTAGAAGTAGGGTCCCTATACCCATAGACGATGTATCCCTATATGGTATATGAACCTTAAACCCTTTTAGGGTTCATTTCGTCCTTAAGGCTCGCCCTTGTTTGAAGGGCGAGCACCTGGAGGCCTCTGTCCAAGACGCGCCGACAAGAAACGGTGCTTTTGAAAGAACGGGCAGCAGCAGTATGTACTATTTGCTTAAGAAACCCCCAAAAAATAAAGATAATAATCCCTATATTACCCCCATAAGGAATATATTTTTTATTTTTTTGGGGTTCTTAAGCAAATAGTAGGTATTGCGGATGGACAAAGCGCTGCAGTCTTGGCACTAAGACGCATACGGTAATAGACGACCCGTTTGTCAGAGGTCTCGATGCACTGCTTTTCTTTCACCGCTGCTTTCTGTGTGGCTTCGTAACGAACAATGGGTTTGGGTCAACGCACTCAAGCCTAAACCCAAACCCCTAAACCCTAAACCCCTAAACCCCAAACCCTAAACCCCCAAACCTCTGAATGCCTAAACCCCTAAAACCCTGAACCCCAAAACCCCCAAACCCTAAAACCCCTAAACCCCCAAACCCCCTAAACCCAACCCTCAACCCGCAACCCGCGACTTCAAGCTCGAAGCCCGAAGCGCTGAACCCTAAGCCCCTTGCCCCTGAAACCCTACACCCGCATAGACACGCAGCTCTCTAGTGGCCAGGGCTTTTCTTAGTAGCTGAGTGGATACAACTTGACACTTTTTAGGGATAAAAATTACCCACTACGAAATTGAAAGTGTACGCTTTTGGGGGGGGCTTATGAACTCAGCATCTAAGTTTCGGCTCTTGATGTACTTTGCACCCCTAAACAGGTATTCGAGAGGCCTATTATTACTCGTGCTAGTTTGGACTCCCGGTTATGAATATAGTTGTGAGGGTCTTGCTGATCAAAAATGGGACCGGAATAGTTAAACATACTATGCTAGCGCGCCTTGTCCGAACTATAGTATAACCCCGAAAACCCCATTAGACATCATTCAATAAGGCCCACAAAGTACCTTGATCCATGTGGCTTTGTGGGTGGCTTGTTTGGCGCTGAGATCCCAAACCCAGGAATTTGTCTCGTTCTGTATAATACAAAGCCCACTCGAGGCATGGGTTACTAACGGACCGAAGACGATCCGCGGATGCAATGCGGAGAAAAATACGGGAGCTGCCATCTCAAGCTTACAAGCCAAGCACTCAAGAACCGAAATATGGGGATCGGTGCAACTCATGTCAAAGCACCTTTTCTGGTTAGCAGAAGCCTTTTGTGTCACAATTTATATTGCAGTGGTGATGTGCCCCAGTTTAAAGGCCAAGTTGCTTATGTAAAGAAATCATAATAGGGGCTTGAAAACGTTAGGTTATTCAGGGTTAAGGTAAGGTTTAGTATTTTGACGTGTTCCAGGAATTGGCAGGTGGGGGTGAGGGCCATTATTTTTGCACAAGCACCCCTAAACCCTACCTATAGTCTCCATTGTAGTTCCTTTTTTGGGTTACCTTATAGGATCCTTAATATACAATTGGTTAAACCAAAAAATGGAACTACAATGGAGACTATAGGTAAAGCCCCTAGGTAGCCTTGAATACCTAAACCCTAAGCCCCAAGCCACAAGCTTGAGCTGAAACCGGAGCCCGGAAGCCCTCAGCCTTAAACTTACAATTAGGGCATCATAAAACCAGCAGCACTGAAAAGGTAAACCCTAAACTCCTAACCCCCTGAACCCTAGACCCTAAACCCTAAATTTAGGGTTCAGGTCGAGCCTAAGCCCGAGGTTCTTGGTGATTTTCTTCGTGTACCAGCTCATCGATGCTGTCAACGACAAGAGCCTCCCACTGTGGGCTCGGGTGCCAAGTGGCGGAACTTGGGAAACTTTGAGTTCGGGTCCATGAGAGGGTTCTGTCAACTAGGGACATTTTATATTTTCCCTTATTGGGGTTAAGAGGATCTTGTTTGCTAATATTTTTCAAAGGCTTTAATTTAAAAGCTCCACCTAGTTGAGGCATCCTGAAGAGTTCTATTTTCATAGCAACTATAAGAGTACATTATGTTAGGGTGCGTTTGAGGAGGGTTTATGGGTTTCTTTATGGGTTCGGTTAGAGGTCGTTTTGAGGCTTTGGGGCTAGGAAGCTTTACGGTTGGGTTGAGGGCCACGGAGTATGGCTTGGGAGGCCCGAAAGCGTGAAAAGAAGAGCCCCTCCAGCCCTTGGGTTCTCAAGGATCATAGTGACAGCAGGGTTTATAGGAACTAGCGATGTCTAGGGTTCAGGGTTGAAAAGTTTGGCTAGGACCTCGAGTAGGCCCTTATTCCCTTTTTTGAGGGTTCAGGCCCCTTATAAGCCGCTTAAAATCAAAAAGGGCACCCTTTCGTTTCCTAGGTTACCCTTGGGTCTAGACTAGGGATGTCTAGGGTTCAGGGTTGAAAAGTTCGGGCTTTAGGATTGAGGTGCAGAGCTCACAGTCCCAAAGGGTCCCATGTACTGTTATGGGGAATACTTCCCCCAATCTTAATAGTAATTCCTAATGTTGGGTCCGGATTAACAAACCCCCCCCCCCCCGCTGTCAAGGTTGGCCCGGTTGAACTTGTTCATGGGTTCAAGTTTTTCCCGGCCCCCCCCTGATTATGTGGGGATGGGGTTAATTATTATTAAGTATAGTAGTAAGTAGATAGAGAGTACTTAGTAAAGTATTGCAGTCGTACAATAGGAGTACAGTAGTATAGTTGTAGTACAGTAGTGTAGTAGTAGTACAGTAGTATTACAGTGGTAAAGTAGTAGCACAGGAGTACAGTAGTACAGTAGTAGTACAGTAGTATAGTAGTATTACAGTAGTAAAGTAGTAGTACAGTAGTACAGTAGTACAGTAGTAGTACAGTAGTATAGTAGTATTACAGTAGTAAAGCAGTAGTACAGTAGTAGTACAGTAGTATAGTAGTATTACAGTAGTATAATATTAGTATAGTAGTAGTACAGGTTTAGGCTTCAGGGTTTGGGGTTTAGGGTTAAGTCATAAGCCTCTAAATCCCCTAAATCCTTATTTCGGTGATTTTCGGGGATGGCCCCGTCTAATCGGGGGGGGTTTAAATGAGCTCCGGTACTATAGGGGTGGGGTCTAATGGACTTCTTCATTAAGCCCATGACATGCCCGGGACGGCCCCGTCTAATCTGGGGGGGTATCTTAATCCGTAAACAACATTAATATAGAAACCCTACATTCTACTATATCGGTACTTTGGACCCTTTGGGAGTGTGAGGTTCCGCAACTTCAAGCAAGGCTTCGGCTGCAAGGGTGCTGTTGTAGATTCACGATTCCTCTCAAGCATCTGGGAGTTTCCGAAAATAGGGGACCCCAATATAGCACCCTAAATAGTAGGATCCTTATTATAGGGACCCCAAAATAAGGTACGCCTAAATCAAAAACTCCCATCTGCGGCCCAGGGTTCCATTCACTGGGTCGGCTCTGCTAGAGAACATCACTGGAGGTTTATATGGGAGTTTCCGAAATTAGGGGTACCTTCTTTTGGGGTCCTAATAATAAGGATCCTACTATGTAGGGTACTAGATTAGGGTCCCCTATTTTCAGAAACTCCCATATGGCATCCGCCCAGAGTTCGAAGGCACGTGATATAGGAGCCAGGCTCAAGCTCAATTGCTGTCGGGCCTACCCCAAAAGCCTATTCTAGGACCTAGAGTAGGCCCTTATTCCCTTTTTAAGAAAAAGGGCACCATTTTTATTCCTAGGTTACTCTTGGGTCTAGTATTCTACTTGCCTCATATTTTCCAGAGTCAGCGGGGTTTGTAAGTTGGTATAAGCTGCTAGCGTAGCAATTGACACGAACCAATCCTTTTGCGCTCCTCCAACGTAACAGTAGGCAGGTCTAGCAACGACTTTGGGGGCTCCAGTTACTTAAAGAGTAGGCTTGTAGACAAATTTTATGATTAATGTGATCTTAGATATTCTTCCTCCTTTTGTTATTGCAAACTCTAGTATTAGGTATCTGGAGCGCTAGAGTAATTATTGTAGCTACAGTGTACGCATCGTAGTGGCGTTCAGGTGCAGTTCCAAGAATCGTGTACTGTCTCTGGACCACTTCAGGGCTCTTATGTGAATATTTGTTTACGGTTCTTAACACTCGCTGAAGATCCTATCTGGGACGGCGGAGAAGGCCGCGTTGGAAATAGCATGCCTCAGCGCACCTTTCTTGTGGCTCGAAGGCGCCGCGCGATTCTTTTCGGAACTAGCTTCTGTTGCTTCTGGAAACCTCCTACAGCTTTGTTCCATGATGCGCTGCGTTTTTCTGGCTCTTTCGGTGGTTGGTGTGGCCAGTTCCGACGCATTCGGCAAGAAGAACCTCGCCGCGGCGCAAAGAGATCTGGAGCTCGGTTGCTTGGATGAGAAACCCAGCAAATCCCCTAAACCCATAGGCCATATAAACCCTAAAGCCCATGCCTGTAGAGTGGATCACTTGGTTTATGAGAACAATAACGTTCATCTCAGGCCCAACATGAAGCTCCTTTTGCCTCTGAGCCCCTAGGCCCTTGACCGAGCGGTTCCAATGTTCCTTCATTAAGAAATGTACCTTATAAGCTATAGCAGGGTCCCTGATATGATTTAAAGTATATCCCATCGAGGTGAGGGCAAGCAGTGGAACACCGCAACACCCGAAGAGGCACAAAAGCTGATGGACGAGGAGGCTGCCTTGTATGCCCCAAAGATCCTATGGCTTCTTTTAGAGGGTTTAGGGTTTAGCTGCTTAGCTGTTGAAGCAGAGTTATCAAAGTGGTGGAGTTAGTAAGGAGCTGCGCAATCCGCTGTATGCTTTCTTTGATGCGGCAACGTAGGTTGAAGTTGCCGAACACTGGGTGAATCCCGCATAAGCTCCGCTTCAAAGCCTGCAAAACCCTGAACTTGAAATCAGCTCCCTACTACAACCTCAACACTACACTATACGTCCTCAATCCGATACGCTTTCTGTCTCCAAAGGACCCAGCAATTGGGCAGTTGGGTTTACAGGACAGTCAAGTTATGCAGGTTAGTACATGGGAGCAAAATCATACGACTATCAGGTGCCTGGACCCGTAGGGAAACCGTGAAGAAGCGCAAGAGCCTAGGACCCTTAAGGGATCCGTGAAGAAGCACAAGAGCCTAGGATCAATTGCGCGTTTACTCCGAGTAGCCCGATCGGCTTCGCGGCAACTGGTAAGAGCCAGACAGAGTGCGGCGAACTGTTTGGGAAGTCGCTTTGTTCTGCAAATTCTTTACTATAGTTTCTTTTGTTGAGCTTGTTGTTGTGTGCATCTCTGTTATGCTTAGACAGGCTTAGACACTAGTCTTGTTCTGCAAGTTGAAGCTGCCGTGTCTTGGATACTGGCGAGATAAGGTCCTTTACAGGCATCAGTACTCACAAAGGCTGGAAGTGTGATTGGGCCGTGGCCGAAGGCAGTGGCGGGAAGACGGTTATCGCTTGGTGCCCTTTCAAGTACACCCTGGATTCAACGGGGGAAGTAGTCTCCAGCACCAGCATGCTCAAGTACGAGTTCGACGATGAAGGACAAGACCCTAAACCCTAAATCCTATAAGCCCATAAACCCCAGAAGCCCTATCATCCCGATCCATCTTTGATCCCAAAACCCTAAGCCCCTCAAGGATTGATCGTCGGGTACTTCCAGGATTTTGATACCTCCAAGTTTGCCAACGCTGCTCCGAGCCTCTCTCTCCCAGCCTCGTCCACGACGAGCTTCATGCCAATGCTCGCAGTGAGTGCAGTCCTCGGGAGTGCCTCTGTCATAGTTGGGTAGCATTTTACATTTTTCTGGGTTATTGAACCCAAGAAATAAGGAACAAGCATGTATTTTTTTAGTACGTATACTATCCCAACCATGAGATAGGTGCCGCTGTAGTCGTGGGGCTGGTGAGGGTGTTGCAGCGGAAGCCTGAGTCACTGTTGAACGGCTACGAGGGTCTTGCTGCATAGACGCAGCCGGAGTGACCAATCAACATCGGTTTTCGAGGATCCCAAACCTCCTACAAAGTAAGGGATACCCGAGGGTCATACTCGGGATCCCTTCATGTACAATTGAAGGTGGGCTCCAGTCTGACATAGCATCTGCCATACCCGGGACGGGTGGGATTTAAAGCTGGTCGTCCCAGGGCAAGAAGCACTAGGATCGGTTCGCGACTTCGCAAAACGATGTGGAGTCCAGAAAGAGCTAGGCTAAACCTTTTGCTCGTCATGTTGCGGAGTACCAATCCCCAAACCGAAACGCATCAAGCTTAAGCCCTAAACCCCAACCACATCCATTGAATGCAGGCAACCTTAAATCTCAAAAACCGAATGCCTCCGTAGTCAATTTCCCACTATCTCCACCCAAAAAGCTCTAGAGGTCAGATGTCATGGGCTCCCACCCCAGGTTAGTGCCAAGGCAATGGCAGTTCTGAGCCTGTAGGTGCTGAGTATTTATGTATCGGGGTTTGATTTTTTGGGGGCTTCCTGAAAACCTATTGCATGTGCTCCGTGCTCAAAGAGACAACTCTAAAACACGCACCTGTTTCCTGGGGTAAGGGTGAAGTAGGATCCATGCCCGATCGGGTTTGGGATGCAGGGTTAGCGACAGGGTTTGCTAGTCGTCAACACCGCCATCATTCTCATCGTCAGTCAGCACTGTCGAAGCTCATAGACCCGAAACCCTACAGCTACATAACCTCATAAGCCCCCCAATCTTTCTAACCCCCAAGCCCTGCAACCCTGAACCCCTCTATTCCTAGGACCCAAAGTAGGCCCATATTATGTTTTTTAGGGTTTAGGTTACCTTATAGTATAACCCTCTTTAAACCAATAAGTGCACCCTGTTGTTCCTAGGTTGCTCTTCGGTCTAGATTTCGCTCACTTCTAGGTTCGGGTCATCCGCGTCACCGGGAATGAGTTCCTGCTCCTCCTCACGGTGCTTTGCCACGAGATGGGCGGGGATGCCGAGAGAGAGACCCCCGAGATTGTGCACGGTAGGCCGTTGTAGAGCCTTTGAAAGCTTGAAGGCTAAGGTCAGGCTTAATGTAGGAACCCGTAAGGGTCCATGTACCCATATAGAGATACATGGGCCCCAACTATATAGGGACTACATTAAGGCCAATGTATATACTATATGAGTACATGGACCCTTAGGGAACCTGATTAAGAAACCTTGAGCCTTTGTTAGGGTTCCTTATATGAAGCCTACTATTTTGGGGTTGTAGGGCCAGGGTTTCTTAATCAGTTTCCTACATTTGGGTGTTTTTGGCCGTTATGAGGGTTGCACAAGGGTTTCGAAAGGTTTGTTTACATAGATGGGGTGCCGGTTTTATGACAGGGTCCGAGCGCAGGGGCTGCCCCATAGCGCAACACTCCGAACAAAGACCCTCGACAAACACCTCCGAACGGGGGCTCTTGCTATACAATTTCCTTCCCCCAAAGACCGCTGTGAAGTGCTCTCTACCCAAAGAAAGGCCCCAAAGTAGTTCCTTTTTGGGGTTCATATTTAGAATCCTTTTAGGTAATCCCAAAAAGGAACTACTTTGGGGCCTTAGGGTAGGTCCCTGATGGGAGTCTCCACAACTGTCGCCTTCAAACTGCGGCTGCGGGTGTTGATCAGGGTACACTCTCCGTAGCAGATTCGGGGTAGCTACCAATTTAATGAGCTGGCAAACCCTGAAGAAGCCTTGTAGCAGTTTTGAAATATTCATCACGCCTGTCTAGACCCACAATGTGCAATGAACAGCCCTGCGCAGCCCTGAACCTTGCGCTCAACACCTTACCACTCGAAACCTCTGAAATAGCCGCCTAAATAATTACCTATACTATTGCGGGGGCTCCTTATTGCATTTGTAGTAGAATATGCCCCCAAAACCCATTCCAATTATTAAGGGCCCCATTAAAGAACCCTACTATAGATCCCTTACCCTTTAAATTAAAGGAACCCTAAACCCTACCCCCTAAACCCTATAGATCCCTTACACTCGAAACCTCTATATGTACTGCCCGGCCCCAAAAGTGGAATCCGCAAGGACATGGCACCATGGCCCGACGTTGCGGAGGAACTATAGCTCAGGCCCTTAGGGGTACTTAGAAATATTTTTTAGTTTTTGGTTATTATAATCCCTAAGAATCAGCTAAAATTGTAATTTTTGCTAGGGTTCTAAGTTCACTATAGAGGCAGGGGCTACCCTAAACGAGCAAAAACCCGCTTGTTTGTAGGGTTTAGGGGTTCCCATGAGTTCTGTATTAGGGTGTATAGCAGGACCCAAAGAAAAATTGGTTATGGTACTTTCGGGTTACATAGGGTCAAGGGTCCATCGGCCACAATTTTCTTTTGCACCGATGTTTGACACAGGTGCTAAAGACAAAGTCTATACTTCAAGCCACCGGGAGCTTTAAGGTTTTAGGGTTTAGGCCTTTGGGGGTTTTCAGGGTTTCGGGTTTAGGGTTTAGGGTTTCAGGGTTTCAGGGTTTAGGGTTTAGGGTTTAGGGTTTCAGGGTTTAGGGTTTAGGGTTTAGGGTTTCAGGGTTTAGGGTTTAGGGTTTCCAGCATAACAGGCATCTGACTGTAAGTTGTTTTGGGTCTGCTACCTGGTAGCATCGGGCGGTGAGTAATTACCATACATCATTCAAACCTAAACCCCCAAGAATAGGTTAATAACGGCCCAAAACCTATAAAGGGCTATTATTCTACATACTTTGGGGGTCCAGGAAAGTGCACCTCAAGACCCCAAATCAAAGCCTTTGGCGCACTGTGGGAGGGAAGGTACCGAGTCCTAGCAGAAGCTCGGTCACAACTCTCCTGCACATCCACCGTACAGCCCTTAACCCGAAAGCCCTAAACCCTCAACCCAAAAGCCCTCAACCCTTACCTGCCTTACCTAAACCCTAAACCCTAAACCTATTACACCGTCGAGACCTGCAGGTGCTCCTCTGGCCTTTCGGCGGCATCTGCTTCACCACGCGCCCGCAGGCGACGGCTGCCGTGCAACTTTCGGAAAGAGGGACCCCCAAGCATTAGAGCATTATAGGGGCCTTAATAGTAAAACTAGGGTTTGGGGGCCGGTTAGTAGGGTTTAGGGTTGGTAGGGTTGGTGGAGCTACTAGGGTTCAGGAGTTGGGCGATGAGCTAGCCCAGAGACTCGATTATCCCGAAATCAAGGAATGTGCCTTAAATCATATTTTCAGGCATATTCCTTGATTAAGGTATGTTGGAGTCTTTCGGCATTAGAGAGTAGGGATCCTTTTGCCACGGTTTTAGGGTTTCGCAGGGTTTAGGGCTGCAGGGTTGGAGGGTTTACCCTATACTTCCAAGGACCTTATGGATAGGGCCCTAGACCCCTTATGTAAGGACAGGTCCCCTGGAGGCATAGGGTTAGGGTTTAGGATAGGGAGGCTATAGTCGTTTATCCAAGGTCCTAAACCGCACACTCTGGAACACAGGAGTCCCAGAAGCAGACAGTATAGACCCTATACCTGAAACCATAACCTGCTTTATCGTAGGTTCATATTGCAAGCCCTAATACCCCAATACGGAGTTCATAGGGATCCTGCGAAGTGGTAGATGTTGGTTGGTAGTTCACGGTAAACCGTAAATTTCGCCGTAAATCCTTGATCCCGAAGTGCTTGTTGAACAGCATAAGACCCGTAAGCGAACCCGAAAACACACACCAAACACATCCTAACCCCACACGCTCAAACCCCCCAAGTGCTAAATCCTAAACCCCCAAATCCCATGCAACACAAAGAAAAAAACGACTAAACCCATGCAACGCAAAAAAAACAAACGACCTACCATAGTCCCCATTGTAGTTCCTTTTTGGGTTTAACCAATTATATATTAAGGATCCTAAAGGGTGACCCCAGAAAGGAACTGCAATGGAGACTATAGGGAAGGCCTAAATCGTGAAATCTACTACCCTCCATCTACCCTCTGTTAGACCCTAAATGCCCCTTATTTGAGACCATATACCCCTATTTGAGGGTACGAGGAGGGTCCTGGTTAAGGCCTAAACTGTGAAATCTCCTCCGTTGCAGGGCCGAGGCGCCCGGGAGAAGCTTGTCGACGACCTCTGGATTGTGGGTGCTGCAGGGAGCCTTAGAGAACCCAAAGGGTCCAAGTATCATCCTGGTATATACTGATAAGGGTATTTTGGGGGTCTAAGTATGTCCCATGATGATACTTGGACCCTTTGGGAGAAGGGTTTCGGGATTTACTGTTTCGGGTCCGGAACAAGGCATGAGCCGTTTGAGAGGTTGTGTTCAGGTTCCCTCAAAAGGGGGTTTTAGATGTCATTCCAGAGTTCGGGCTTAGTGTGTGGGGAAAGGGGGTTTAGACACTCGTTAAGTTTGTTTTGGTGCTTTCGGCTGCAGGGTTGAGGACTTCTGTATGTTTCGCTTCGGGGTTTCGGATTTTGGGTTGATCGGATTAGGACTTCAAGCTTTCTGTTTTGGCGTGTTCAGGCTTGAGGGTGTATGTTTTTGGAGTGCAGAAATCGGAGTAACTCAGGTTTGCGAGCTTTCTCTTGCATGTGGCTTCGGAGGTGAAGCTCAGGTTGGATGGTTGAAGCTGGGCGCCGACAGCTGTCAACAGTCAGGATGACGCGGGATTCTGCTCGGGCGCAGAGTGTGGAGTTACAGAGAAACGGTCCGCCGTTCTCGCACCCCAAGAAATCGGCTTATCCAAATTCCGAACTCCATATGGGTGGTTGTCAAAATTATAGTCCCTTTTTGGGTCCCTAGAAAAATACGGCACCTAATAATTAGGGTACCCCAAAAAGGGGCCATAATTTTGACAACCACCCTTTTGAGGCCCCATAAGCCCAAGCTCCGAGGGTAGATTTACGGGGTTTAGGTCCAGGTCCGTTTGGCTTAATCTTACCTTTGGTTAGTAGGGAATGGAGGAATGGGGTACAATTATAACTACTATTACTACCATTTTCCATTCCCTATTAACCAAAGGTCTA